AACAATATTAAATAAATAATTCATTATTCAAGTAAAGTTATCATCATTTGAACAGGAACGGACAGGAGAGGGTGAGTTAAAGCCCAGATCACAGCATATGTAGTGCGAGAGTGAAATAAATTTAACGGTTTTTCCTTCTGTTATTGTTTGTAAATCACATCAAAACAAATACGTTATATACTCGCTATTAAGTACAACTAATTCTAAACACTATTATCACAGAGAAATTTGTAAATTTTATCAAGTTCAATTTTTTTTATTTAAAAGTGTGTTATTTTACTATGTTAAATTATAAATTAATTGTGTAAACAACATAAATGTACATGTTTAATTTAAAAATCCACACTCATCGCTGTTGCTATTTACCCGATAAAACAGCATTAAGCTCGTGTAAATTAAGCGAGCTTCCTACATTATATCTACACTTTTATTAGACATTGTACTTTAACTCTCCACTACACGTACAATACATGTACAGTGTGTTTGTGTCAATAGAGTTGCGATTAATATTTCAGTTTTATTTTACATTTCCATTGAAATAATGTTTTATAACATTTTAAATTCAATGATAAGTGTGTTTAAAATCGCAAAACAATGATTAAATAATTATTTATTTAAATCATTTATTGACATTAAAATCAATTGTATCTACTGTTCAAATGATGATAACTTTACTTGAATAATGAATTATTTATTTAATATTGTTTTTTATGTATACCTAAGATATAAATAACAATAATAAAAGTTATATAATAAGTCATGAATAGTGTTTATGCAATCATTAGTGTATTTATTGTCATTATAGTCAGTGGTATAGCAAACGGTAAGTCCAAAAATTTTATTGTTCATTATATGGGGGTTTATAATATGATTCATATTATATGAATACTTTGTTTATAAACACTATCTGTAAACATCAGACTAATATTTTCATTAATGTACTTTAAATCACAAAATTTTATCTATTAAAAATTTTATTTATATTCACTTTATTTAGAAAAATAAACAATAAATACAAAATATTAATTTACTTTACCTTTACAGCAGCCTTATTACCGACATCTAGTGTGACCACAATTGCTGCGGGAAGTACAAAAACACTGGTCATCTATGACAGGGACTCGAGCGCCACCCGTCCGGCCCCGTGGGTCCGATCGATGACAGTTGGCGTACACTCACAGCTATATAACCTCACTTTGGTTAAGACATTAAGTAAATCATCTAGACGGGTTACCGGCCGTAACATTGGCCTAGTGTTGTCTACCCAGACTGACAGTGGACTGGTATACGTGACCAACCCCTCGAATGTTTCAGTAAACGCTCTTGTGGTTATTGATCAGCATCGAGCTACTGGTAATTTAGCTATATTTATTTAACCTAGTAGACTTATTTACTTTGTTTAATGCATTGAATAATTTATTTAATTATACGATACAACATTTATTAAATTTTATCATGATTACTACGTGTGAATTTGTATTACTAGACCCGATACCAGGCGGCTGTTCATCAGAGTTCCCGTTAGAAGTGTCACCGTTTCTACGGCTTTACTACACATTGTATTTCAATCGACTGGAGTTCCAGTTTGCAAATATTGGTATTTTATTTGAATTATAAATTTAATTTTAATTGATATGTTGCATAATTATAAATCGTTATATGTTATCAGGTTCAGTTGAAGATATAAACAAACCTATGAAGTGTGGTGAAAGTCAATTCAAAATTCAATACGATATTTACGGCTATTTTCTTAATGAAAGTAATTTTCCGGAGAGGGAGTACTTTAGAGCTATTAATATAATGAGCAATTTGACCACTATTAGACAGTACGGCACAAAGGTAATTAATTGACATTGTTTGTTTTATTTATTTTAAGATTTAATATTAATTCTATTTATGCTAGTTTTAATTAAAAAGTTCCATGTGCATGAGTTTTATTTAATTAAATGAAAATACAAAATATTTTGTGTTTTTAATGCGCGATGAGTTAATAATTGCACAATAAATTTATTTGCATGATAAACAGGAATATTTTAAAATATAAATTACACTAATGCTTTATAATTACATTAATATTAATATAATTAATTGCAGGATATAGATTGCATTTAATGAATAATGCATTAATATTTTAAGTTACATAAACAAATATTTCATGATCATGGTCTTTGTATTGAGATTAACTATAAATATTTTTAACTCTACATTAGTATAAACATTTTAAATTATCTTTGTCCTTTTAAATATTAATTTGCATTTAAAAAATCAACAAGATTAGTATTTCATTAATTAGGTTAATACTAAATTATAATTATGGTTATTTTGTCCTTTAGTTAATGAACATATCGACACTTCGGGCCTACTTTTACGCCTACACGGGTCGACCCGTTGTCTACAATGTGATTGCAACGTCCCAACAGTATAGCTCGGTTTATGTACCCGTCGTAACGTATGATTGCGATGGCAGGAGTATTGAAGAATGCGTTAAACATGGTAATGCGACAATTAAATAGTTATTATTACAACTAAATTTTATATATATTATTATTTTTAAATATTGCAGATATATCAACTTTAATGATCACTACTGTAATGGGTTTAATAGGCTTATTCGTGTGCTTTAGAGGGCACGTATGGTTTCAATTGCGTAAGTATTGCAACGCGGTCATTAATATTGCCACATTAGGTTTTTACATCAGTTTAATTATAATTATATTTAATTTTATCATTTATGCAGAGCTGATATTTTTTGGTCTCATTGACGGCTCGTTCATAGTCTACATATTGCTATTGAAATACACAACACTAGACACCGGAGCTGTACAACTATACACTACCGGTGCCGGTGTTTTACTGGCCCTGCTATGGGTTTCTTTTTGGAAATTATTACATCTGCCTCTCCTATCGCTACTGCTATCCGGGTTAAGTCTGGGGCTATTACTGATGGCAACACTACTGTTCACCACAATCGGCAATCTAGAGCTGTTCCAGAATGATATCAACTATTGGCTAATAATGTGTTGCGCGACTATACTGGTCACACTATTTTTGCCTATGCTCAGCGCTATCGTGGTAATTTACATGGATTTATGCGCTTGATCTATTTATAATCTAACTTATTATTTTTGCACTTACAGTTATCAATAGTCTCATCATCGATAGTCGGCTCGTATATGGCTGTAATAGCTGTAGACCGTTACATATACGGCTCACTGTCCTACATCATGTTGAACGTGATGAAACGGGCCGTACATAGCAATGGTGCCTACAATACCGTTCCCTTTCAAACCAAAGGTATGGCCGACAGATCAATTGCTATTAAAAATAATAATAACAAGTTCATTTCTTACCCTAGATGTAATAATGGCCGCAATTTGGGCTCTGTTATCGCTAACTGGGATAGTCTTACAGCTGAGCACCGGTGCCGACAAGAGTCCATTCCCGGCACAGCCCGGGTGCTGTTCGCAGGGCCACCGGTCACTCACCGAGTCGTTGGATCGGTACTACCGGCGCCGGCGATCGCAGTACGACTCGTACGACAGTATGGAGAGTACGACGCCGTCGGTCGACGGGCAGCGGCGCCGCCGCCGGAGTAAGAGTAGGCGCCGGTCTCGTCGGTCCAAACGCTGGGAACCGGTGCCCAGTGGGGAGTCAAGTCGCCGGGGCTCTGGTAGAGCTAGTGGTCCGTCTACGCGGGTGGTTGACGAGCGGAGTCCCTTATTACAGCCCCAGCAGCCGTATTATACGGGCACTTCTGGCCGCGCCTACTCGTCCACTAGTGTCACTACTGCAGCCATTAATCCTTATAATGCCAATAGGGATGATCCCCATTATGGTAATGTGTCGGCTCCGCCATTCCCTAACCCCGGCCGGGGTAGTCCGCCACCCGATTATAATCATTTATATATTACTAACACTAATGGCCACGACTATCAGTCAGTGTGATGTTTTATTAGTCAATATTTTATATATAATTAATATTAAATAATTTATTTAAGATTAATGCAAGGTTTAAGGTTTGAAAAGTATAGTTAAAAACAGTAATTTTATAAATAGTTAATATATAAATAATTTAATATAAATAATTTATATTTTAGAATTTATTATATTTATTTAATGACACAAATAATTTGCTAATATATTATTAAATTTAGTTCTATTATGAAATATCCAATCTTAATGGGTTTCCCAATAGACAGATATATTTAATTTAAAACTATTATAGAAAATATTATTTAAATTTTGCCAAATAATTGTCAGATTAATTATAAATTTAAAACTTTTAAACAGAAATGTATAGTATTATTTGAAAACTTTATAAATCCTTAAATCTTTTTGAAGAATGTAGTTAATTATATTTAATTATATTAAATTGTAATTTATTATCAACAAAATAAATATTTCTTTTTATTAAAATTGACGTTTTTAAAATTTAAAAATGCTTTAACATGTACAGTATATCTTATTAATTATTATTTGGATCCTTCTGCACTAATTGCCTCCACTTGAAAAAGCCTTTCCAACCGATACACCAGTCATAGGAATCGGGATATTTGAAGGTGTGTTCGGTGGCCAAGAGGTCAGCGGCAGTGTATGGCCAGTGAGGGTTGTTTAGTAGCGCCCGACCTATGAATATGAGTGTCGCGCTGTTGTCCTGAAGCAACGCCTCGGCCTTCAAGGGGTCAA